TCTCACAAGTGAAGGTTCTCATCTATCTTTCCTTCGTGCAGATTCACGTTCAGCCGTATTGGCTTCAGGTGTGATGGACATGGCGGGCGGTGAGCCCTCGCTCGTAGGCGTCAAACGCAAAGATGCGCTCGAGATGCTCGGCCGGTTCTGACGCCACCAGGTTCTACAGGGTCTCGATCCCGAAGATGCCAGCCATCTTCCAAGCCGACTCGAACTGTGAGTCGTTCAGGTGGGAGACGTCGTTTCTATCCACGAACTTCAGAAAGGTTCAGGTAGTCTACCCGCGTTGGCGTGGATTGACTACGAGTGCTACTAAGTGTGACGGGGTCACACAGCACCTTGCGCTAGAGGAAGTTGGCTTCCAAGAGTATACAAACGCTCAGTGTGCTGTAGTTCACAGGTCCCTTTTGTCGAAAGGAATGAAGTAACCAGTTTATGGTAAGTTATAAACTGGATGTAGGCTAAGCTTGAGCTAATTAAACAAACTATAAGCCGCCTATATAAAAGCAATGTCATCAGTCAATGGTTGGCCTTGAACGACTCTGGTACCGTGTACCAAATATCTCGAAGTATGACGTGTCACGCTTCATGTAGCTAGGAGTACACTTTGGATGTGTACCCCGCTACATCACCTATAGTGGGAATATGTAGCTATGCCCTGACTGGCTCCAAGAGCACCAGGTACCGTGTACCAGGTCCCACACAAGTGACGGGTCACTCTGTATGTAGCCGGGGTACACTGGATTGTACCCCACTACATCCTCTTCCACTTAGCTAAGATTCACCTGATTCTTCAATCACAACTGATTATTCAATCAGAAGTGAGAGAATTAAAAACCCAAAGGTGAATCTCACACCGAGCAGCCACAAGACTGTCGCGGCTCTCTGCTACAACCACAGTGACGTGTGCTTTCAAAGCACGCTGGGATTTGCATTCCCATGCTCACAACTGTGTTGGCCGCAACGCCAGCACTCAGAGCTGCCTTAGCTCCTGCGCTAGCCCGCGTGTAGTGCTTTGGCACAATAGCATCCGAACGTGTGGGCATTCGTCCACAGTTTGCACCGGAGGACACGACACTACTCACGAACGCGTCCGCAGTATGGTGTCTCCCGCAAGGGACGACATCGACAGCGGAAGCACCTGCCCTAGCACTAGAGGAAGCTCTTAGCTCACCTCGGGTCATGCCTTTGGCTATAGCAAGGATCCATGCTTGCTGGTGGAGCTACTGCCACGCCTCTCTTCGCGTCTTGATCGTCATATACACGGCACGTACGTGTCCTTTATCAGCACCGTGTACCGTTACGGTACTCATTCGTGGTGTAGGTGGCTCCAATCGACAAAATGTACCGTACAATACTAACTACACCCACCCCCACGTTGCCATGTTTGGCGACAACAGCTCCTGTTGTGCTGTCGCCTGAACAAATACGTTTCCAGAGCCCTCATCATACGCGAGGCATGTGCAAGCACAGTGTACAGGTCTCCGTGTCCGTGCACCAGGCATGTGTACGCACGTGCCACATCTACCATAAGTGCTCCGTGCACTTCATGCGTGTCATTCACGACGAGTACATTACGCGGGATATCCGGCAGGTCGCTCAACAGCAGCCAGTGCCGTTGCACGGTACATGCATCGACTCACAGCGTATATGCCCAGAGCAGCATTGTGTTGTGGTATGGCGCATAGCATTTGAGACCGCCCCAAACAAAAAGAGCCTTAGCTAAATTTATTACAGCTGCGATAACTGCCTTAAAGAGTCAGCTCAACTATCGTCCCCAAATCATACGATTTTCCAGGAGACCGTTTCAAAGGTTTGTAGCCAACCATATGTAAAGCTTAGGCTGCACGCGCTAATTTCAGTTTGGAAATACGACTAAAATCGGCAAGCACAGGCAATGTCTTCAACCGCTCCAAGCAACACCAATAGGGGCCTGGAGCGCGATGTACCCGCAAACAGTATCGCCAGTGATGCTAGTGACGCCGGCTACTGGGATGCGGCGTCTGCCCAAGACAGCAGCAGCGACGGCGAGACATCCAGCCCAGAGCCTTTGGTAACAGAGAGAACAAAGCTAATACTAGCTACAGCATGCTGTTCAGACCTTTGCCTCGGCCGAAACGTAGAAGCTTCAACTGAGTTCCTGTACGGCTACATAGGAATGAGCAAAGAGAACCAGCGAGTGTGTTTGATGGTTTCCTTGGGAATAATTTCTTCTTATCAGCTTCAAAAGGTGTCAAAAGATCGCGAGAGGTATGACTACATTGTTCCTATGGTGGGTTGCGTGTGCAAAAAGGCATTTCAAGCTGGGTCGAGTGTACAAAAAGGCATTTCAAGCTGCATTCGGGGTTAGCAATAACACCCTGTCGTTGTAGATCTTTTATGGCGAAAACCTGATGAGGTACTAAGCGCTGGTGACATAGCTGAATTTTGAACTTCAATCCAGACAGCCCCCCCCCCTCCCCCCCCTTGTCAATAAGGAAAAAGTTGTGGACCTGCACAACAAGATACTGCAATATGTTCCGCCTCAATATCGTGATGACCCCCTTTACTTAGCTCCTAGTGAGCAGGAAAATCAAGCAATTCGTGCCAAGAAGCGTACACGACGAACCAAGACTGAACCGGAATGATAAATAATTTTGCCAAATTGTAGCAATAAATATAAACGTACATTAAAATGAGTTAAATTAAATAAAAGGAGTGATTAAGACTGTAATTTTAGGCAAGTAAACTACCTGTTGTTGCGATTTACAGGATGTTACCCTATGATTTTGACTATTGTAGAGGCATATTCGGAATTTATACACCAAGAGCCATCAGGACATGTACAATTTTACCTTTTTTAAAATTGTACATGTCCTGATGGCTCTTTTTCATTTAGATAAAGAATTGATTTCTGAAAAAAAACCTTATTGGGATTTCTAGCGGCCCAAAAGAGCCATGGAGGGCTTAAAATAAAGCTAAAACATTGTAGAAGATCATTGTGTACACAGTTTAATTTTCGTACTTAAGAATTAGGACTCATTTTGTTTGGGGCGGTCTCATTTGCACCCATACCAGTATCTGTCATGAATACCATGTACCTTGATCGTACTCGACCATGGTGGGGATATTGCCGCTATACCACTAACGTGGTGGTGTCTAATACTAACACCACGTAAACTGATGATACTCGACCGTGGATGGAGCACATCACACCACCATGCCACTGCGGCGTTGGGGTCAGGTATTGACATTAAGTACCCATGTGGTACCAAACCGTGGTGAGGCAAGCAGCCATCACCATGGTGCCATACTCGGCGCGGCACCAGTAGCGACTGCGTGCGCTGTCTCAACTAACACCTGGTCGGTTGTGTGTGCACTCGGGCACCTCACTTGGCTTACGGCTCCACGGTCCATTATGCCCGGCGCGTTGCATACATCACGTACTACAGTCGCCTTATCAGTGGGTTAGATTTTTTGCTTTCACCCTACTCGACAGGTCGTACATGGCCAAGGGGCCTGTGCAGTGATTGCATTCGGTCCGCTATTCCCATCGTGTGTGATTGCATGCAACCACAACACTGCTGATTCGCTCAGCGATTCCGAGCCACCTAGCACCATTGGCTTCTGTCGCCACTCGAACAATGCCAGACGTAGGTTACAAGTAGAAATTAGGGCCTTAACCAAAAGCATGCTCACGTTTTCTTCTTCCACGTTGGTCAGAGTACTTCGTGTCTCGTTTGGCTAGATCTACCGCAGCCCTAGTCCGGCTGCTCACCTCCAGCCTGCGATCGATGTGCATCGACACCTGGTTCCGTGAGGAACTTGGTCTTACGTCAAGCCCAGGGAGGAAACGCATTTCCAATCCACTCCCCCACTAAAGCTTGAGACCATTGAGGCTTCCGTTGATTGTGATAGCCACGGGCAGGCCCGATGACTATCCGCCTCGAGCCTAGCCGATATGGACGGATGCGTAGACTGTGCCGACCGAACGCATCCAGCCTTCGCGTCATCAGTTCGAGTCTGCGTGACTTGACGAGAGCGAGTTGCGGCAACTCATGTCTGGTGTGGACAAGATATTCTCGTCACTCGAGCCAATGGTGCTGTGTGTGGAGCGATGTTGCCCGCCTTGGCTGTGGAACTCTGTTACCTACCTTTGTTGCGGAGCTGCGTTGCATGCCTTGATGAGTGGAACTATGTTACATACACAGGAAGCGCATACTGCGACTTCCTTTTCCGTTATGGTTTGAGCGACCTTGCGTGGAACTATGCTACCCATGCACGGAGCACCGATGTCAGCCTCCTTAAGCAGCTTCGGTGTCCGCTGAGCTTGATACCCGCATTGTGGACCTATGTTACCCACCTGATGAAATGCTCGTTGACACTACCACTGTGTTTGACGCAGCAGTGTTGCCTGACAATGCCTCGTGGCATTCTTGGCTTCCCGTTTTGTTTAATTAAGTCGCACTAAAACTGCTTGAATGTTTTCTCGTTGGGTCCGTTCATCCCCCCCCCCGCTTCTTTCGAAATGAATGGCCAGTGCTAGAAGCTTGAGTTGAAGAAGCATAAATCAAAATAAATTTTGAAACCTCTCCCAAATTCATAAAGTATTATATATAAAAAGGGAAGAATTCCCGTCTATCTTCTCTTCAAGAATCATACATGGTGATACACCGAACCATGACGATTCCATTTTTGAAAGCGCAAAAAAGGGAGAGCTCTCTGGATGTTATCGCCTGTCATATCGACTATTCTGTAGGATACAGAATTCTGGCGTACATGGTTAAAGTATTAGAGCTCGCTTAAGTACGATAAACGACGACTTAAGTACGATCTGGGTCCGTTTTGAAATAACTAGAAATTATTTTTAGTATAAATCTACGAAAGCGGCAAATTTGGTCGATTTTCAAAGATTATTTTTTTTACTCAAGTTTGGAACTTGATGGTGGGAAAATTCAAAGGCAACAAGTGGTGTCCTTAAAAAAGCGAAAAAATTCCCCTCCCCCCCTGAAGCTGCACTTTCATTCATCCTCGTCCTCGTCTTCTAATCGATCTTCTTGTTCGCTTTGAGACGACGAATCGTCTGAGCTGGAATACACTGAAGCTCGTCGGCGCCGACTAGTCTTGTGTTGCCCGTTACTCGTATTTTCAACACTATCCGGGTATACACGACAGCCCTGACGCAGACATTCCTTCTGCAAATGCTCCAGCTCGTTCATGAAGGTTTCAAGCGCTGAGACTCGTGCCTGCGACTTCGTGGAATCATCGCTGGTCAGCAATAAACTGTTCAGTTGGTCAGCGACGGACTCTCGGAACGCAGGCGTCAAGAACTTGATGGCTCCACTCGTTGAGGGTACGTTCTCACGCCGATCGTACAGCAGAAGGCTCATAGCCAGCGCGACATCATCTGTACTCTCGTGTAGCTTGTGCGTGCCATTACTGGAGTCTGTTCTTTTGCGTTTCCCATTCGAAATCTCGGTAGATGCAAAGACTTGCCGTGCGAATTCAATCGCCAGCTTTGGATTCCACCCATTGCACTCGAGCTCCTCCGTAGACGACGTTGTTGAACCGTTGGTTGACACAGCAGCTGGTTTTGTTTCACCTTCGTTAGTCAGGACGTCGATGACGCAGAGAATCCGACAGTACAGTATTAGTTTTCGCAGACGTCTGGAGCGATAGCTCGACCAGTTGTTCAGGAGTGCAGGCACATGTTGTTCCAGTACTACAAGCGCCTGTGCTGTCCGAAAGCCACGAATGTGGTCACACACTTGGTGGCGAACACTGAGAGAGTCGAGCATCTCTTGTTTCTTAGCGTTTAACGGTGTTTCTGCCCAGTGCATTTCCTCGTTTTTGCTTTCTTCCTTTAGGTTGAGAGGTACAGCAGTCGTATCCGCTCGATCGCAGCTCAATTCCACCCCATTCGACGATTCCTGATGCGTTGAAGCTGCCTGAGTGGCTTCAAAGGCTTGATATGCACTCTCGTAGCCGTAATGCAGGAAGAAATCTTGCATAAGCATACTTGCCGCAGCTTCATCCTCACAGTCTGCCTGCTCAACAGCGTCAACAGGACCGCTTGCACTTCTTTTCTCGCGTTCGGCAAGTAAAGCTCGTTGTCGTTCCTTCTGGAGCTGTTGTTCAAATCCTGCTAAATCGAATACAAACTCCTGCGGTTCAAATACTCCCTTCACACACTCTCCAGCGCCATGGAGACTCACCGCCGGATACAGCGCCTTTTCCTCTTCGTATCGCCCGTCAGTGTCTTCCATCTCCACGTCCTCAATTCTGTCCAATAGAATCTTCACACCCTCCTCAGACTTGGTGCCATTCGTAGCACCTTCCTCGTCACTTTCCGTGTCTTCGTCACTTCCACTCTCGTCCACTTTCTCTACGCCCTTAAAATCATCCAGATCGTACACATCTCTAGCTGCCAACAGGCCCATCAACTTGCCATTCAATGTAAAAAAAAACGTATTAGTGTCCAATAAGACCCCACAACCCACCACGTCGCCCGCTCCGTAGCGCTCGCACTGCAAGAACTCGCGTCCGTGCGAGATGACGCATCCAGTCTTGCCCACATAGGCCAGCGAATTGACAGTCTCGCCCAGATCTCGATGCAGAATCGAAGGATAAGTTTTCACAGGTTTCCGTTCTCCTTCTTCTGATGACTCTGACGCTCCGTCTGCCGTCGTGTCTGGTAGAACTCTCTGCATCAATTGCTTCACAGTGCGACGAGCCTCTAGAAATCCCGAAAAACCGGTAAAACCTCTGGTGATACCTCCTGAAGCTGTGGACTTCTGCGCGGCCTCGTCGAGTAGAAAGCCTACGGCCACTTTGTGGCTGAACCGCTTCTTCTCGCTGCTGCGGCGCAGTCTGCGGCGGTCGAGTCGTGCGCGCATGTGCTGCATGGTTCTGGAATTTAGTGAGAAATTAAAATTCACAGGTACACCACTGGTGCCTCCGTTGGGCGCTGGCAGCTGCACGTCCTCCATGTCCATAGCCTCCAGCTCAGCACTACGTCGCCAGCCCCGAGTAGATGTCGCCGCAGCGTCACGATCTTGCGCTGCATGGCGTCGGATTGCTGTAGACGAGTGTGGTGTATTAATTCTCGAAGGTAGCAAACTCGAGGCTAATTCAGGGTTTGTTGCCACGACCTGAGTCTCGAAGTAGAAGGCACGGGATCGAGCGGGAACACCCGCCGCGCGTCTGGAGCGGAAGCAGGCCGCATCGGCCTCGTTGTTGGCACGTCCCACGTACTCGGCGGTGTGGCGATCGGCGTGTAGACGGCCCTCAAAGGCGACGGAGCGCGGGTCGAAGACCATTGCGGAATCGGCGCTTCTTGGGATAGCTGTTTAAAGCCCTCTGATTGGCTGGATAAACTGTTTAGGAACTTCAGACTAAAGTTGAAGCTTTGGACAATAGCGGTACGTGGAGTAAGCTTTAGAAATTAGTTTACTTACGAGAAGCTGTTCCGGTTACGATTTCATTGACTGCTCGGACCGAATACATGTACATGTATCCTATACCGGTATGATCCTAACTGAGATGGGGCATTTAGGTATTGATACGTTGAGGTAGTCTCGGGTCAAAATTCGACCGCCTCAGTCTCATTCTAGTTATTTCCTGCAACCAGCTAAGCTTCAACCTCCCTCACTACTCCGGTCTCTCAAGTTTATGTTGAAGATTTTTCACGGTGTCGCATTCATCTATGCGATGACAACGTCAGTGAACGGACTTTCATTTTCCGAACTGAAAAGTGAGCCTGCGCTGTCTCCGCTTGTCGCGAGTGAGCGAAGTGATGATGCCAAGATGACTACTGATGAAGAGAACCGCATCTACGGTGGGGTAGACGCTGACATCAGCAAGTACTCTTACGTGGGAACCATACATTCTGCTTACAGTGAAGGTGAACCATTTTGTGGTGTCACGCTGATTTCACCGCAGTACGTCACCACGGCTGCATCGTGCCTTGGCTGGTTTTCGGTGGACACGTTTGTTTCTCTCGGAGCTAAGCAGAGTAAGAAAGGAGGCTTTAAAAAAGCTGAGAAGATTCGCGTCGTGGAAGTTTTCAAGCATCCGAAGTTCCAATGTGGCTCACGAATGACGTGGCAGTGCTCAAACTAGAGAAGTCATCCAGCCACAAACCAGCACGTCTGGGAGACGCCGACGGATCGGATGACAAGCCCAAAACGAAGGCTACTGTCCTAGGATGGGGAGAGGTGAACCAAAAAGACCTTCCTGACACTCTTCAAGCTGTTGACGTCGAAATTATCCCTGATGACCAGTGTGCCGAGTACACTATTGATACCGATGTCACGCTGTGTGCTGGGACCGAACGTGGGAAAGGCTTTTGTGGTAGTGACATGGGTGGTCCTCTGATTGCCAATAACGTGGTCGTCGGTATCGCAAACGCTCTGCCTGGTGCAGCAGCTGATTGTGGGGAACTACCCGGGCTGTACACTCGTGTCTCCTACGTCGTTGACTGCATCACTGACATCCTGAACGGTGGCTCCAGTGGTAAAAGCGAAGTTCTCTTGTTCCCGGCTACACGCTAAATCCTACTTAATCGGAAAGTATTGCAGGATAGCTGGCCTTACGAAAGAACGCATTGACGCTCTTAATCAGCAACGTTCATCCAACAGGAAAGGGTTAAAAGAAAAAAGAATTTCAAGTCATTCCCATTCATTAGTTCGGAAGGTAGACTGTTACTGTGCCAAATAAAACGATCTGGTCCACAAGACGCCATCCCTAAATATTGTTTGCAGCTCCACAAAACAAACTGCATACATGTACAGTAAAATACTGTACAATGAACAGTAAAAGAACAGGTTATTCGGCAGATTTTATTCCAATTAATCTTACCGTTAGGGCTGGAACTCCTGCCGAAGACCAACGTGTATTTTGATCACTAGGTAGGCTTAACACACAAGGATAGCCTGATTTCTTGATTACAGGAAATGCTTTATTTCAATTGGCGAATATTTTAAACAGGATAATTAGCGTTCAAAACCTCAGTTCATCGCCTTCACTATGTCAGCCCAGCCTGCATCACATCTTCATCTGAGCACAGCGAAGCAGATATCACTGAACATATCGTCAAGTGGCTTAAGTAGCTCCACCTCTCGAATCGATACCGATGATGCCAGAGAAGGTTTTCTTGCGAATTTAGTCTGCAAGGTTATTACTCAAACCCTGGCTTACAACCTCACAAAAACAACGACACTGGTCTGTACGCTTGGCCAGCTCAATGTCCATCCATCGGTGGAGTGTTCCAAAAGCACGATTCCCCACTCTCGTGGACACGACACCTGATTGAAAAGTGTCGCATACATTTTAACGTAGTTACAGTATTTACTTGCATTATCTCTATAAGAGATAGTCTTACTCAACCAGCCGCCATATTTCCGCCTTACGCGAGCTGTTCTTGCATTTCCACCAACATTTAACTTGAAATGTAGCTTCTCCCTGTCACGGGACAGGGATGCTTGGGTGTCGTCCCGGAACGTTAACAGTCTGGGAGCGCCGTCAGTGGCACGTTCCACACCGGATCGTAGTCGCTCCACGCCCGATAGGAAGAAAGGAGGAAGGAAGTCGATTCTTGTAGCGAGGCCGACGGCCGGAGCCTCTCGCGTGGTGGAGGTGATCGTAGAAGAATGTAAAAGAAGCTTGTTGAAAGTAGTTACCCTTACCCCGCAAATCCGAAAGTGATTCTAGTCAACTAAACCGAACGCGTCGGACTTCGACGCGTTCCTAAGCATGACACCCCCTCTTGTGTAACCAAGCGTTACCCGAGAGTCGACATCCGTCCTCTTTGTAGTGACAGCCCACCTTCTTCACCGCTAATGTTGCTCTTTACTTCGTCTGCCATCCGTCCTTGCACTTGGTGCCACCCCAGGCACGTACCCTACACGATTCCCTCAACGGAGATGCGCTCATTCGAGACATGTCAGTTTGGCAGATGAGCATACATCGTGACAATTCTCCCCGACTAATGTTCGTCGCCCTCGACGACCCCTTCTTCAGCTGTCAAATGCATCGCTCAGTCTTAATGGCTAGCGGCGTGGTGTGGAGTGCGTAAACTGGAACATCTCAAGATGGAGCGTCCGGACGGATCACGTTGGGAGCGCTCCTCAACCAGATTCGAAGCCCGTCGTTCCAAACCTCTTTTTCCCTACCCTGCCCCACGTCGGTCGTATGGGTGTGGTCCCAATAACCCCCCCCCCCTGTAGATAATCGCTGCAGCTATGTATCAAGTACAAGAAGTACTATAAATCTCTTTTTCTTGGACTCGTTGATCTTGCCATTATCAATGCCTTCATTGTCTACAACGCCAGACAGACTAAGGCAAACAACGCGAAGCTGACTCATGTAAAGTTTTTGAAGCAACTACATCTAGAGTTGTGTCAGCTACGCGAGGAGGCCTGGGTGACTTTGCACGACAACGCGTGCTTACAAGTTTTACCAACCAAACCGATGCAGCGCACAAATTCTCGCCAAGCCGCACACCAACCTGTGCAAAATGACGAGTGGCGCAGTGGCAACAACCAGCAAGGGCGGAAGCGCCGTACGAGAGCGTGCAAGGTCTGCTCGCTCTTGAAGGGCACCGACAACGCGAGAGGTGGAGATTTGTCGGTATACTGTAGCGAGTGTAAGCTGCCCAACACGTCGAAGAGACCCATGGCTTCGCGGGTTTTCCTCTGTGAGAAGGTTCGTCACACGTACAACGGAGCTGCAATATCTTGCTTCGACATCTGGCACAAGGCCTGGAGAAACGGAACGCTGCTCCCCAAGAATGCAGTGAAGCGCACGATCCGCGCACGTACACCGGGACGTCGCGAATGCTCAAACGAGGAGAAGGATGAGGCTGAGAGTGTCCAGTCGTCCGGAGATGAAACCACGACGAGCGGCTTGCATCAGTTAAAGCGGGCTCGCCGCGCCCCGGATGCTGAGATGACTGACTGATCAAAGGCGTCATTCGTAGAGTTTTACACAGGTTTTGTATGCCCTCAAAAATACGATATTAAACTTGACTGCATATGTTCCATTGGTTTAGTTATGTACCAAGATTGTTCAACCTATGTCCGCCTTACCAGTTCCTGTCACACATGCAGGTACCGGTTTTGTAGTCTACTCTACACGCTAATATGACTAAAGTGTATATCGCTCGTTTTCGGGCCTTCGACAAGATGGAGGTACAAGATAACAGGAGACACAGTCTTCCAAGTTTAGGGTTTTAGTGCGGCTATCCACTATACATGTTAGCAAAACATGAAGGAATTTATATGAAAGCCCTTCCCTTCACATATACGTTTGAGAGACTAGGGATTCGGTTAGAGTTTGCGCCGAAACAGCTCGGGTCTCAAGGGGTTAAGGCTCTTCAGGTAACTAAAGAAAGCAACGAGCTTAGTGCGACAAGCTTCATACTCACTCATCAAATACTGCCATTTTCAATGAGTTCACCCTTCCCCTCATTTATAAATGATGTGTGACTGTACTACTAATACTTCTGTACAAAGAGGTAATTTGAAAAGCAGCCTTCTTGTTTTAGACCAAATAGTTTAAATAGCAACAGCCTACCTATTGAATTGATACGATACGACTGAGAAGGAAATGACTTGGTGCTCTGCTTTTTTATATTTATCCTTTCCTGATGGATATTAAATGATCATTGTTTATTAAGAGCGTCAGAGCATTCTTTCCTATGGCCAGCTATCCTGCGATATGTTTCCTGTAAGAGAGGTCTAGCGTGTTGCCGGGAACAAGAGCACTTCGCTGGCATTACCACTGAAGCCACCGTTCAGGATGTCAGTGGTGTAGTCAACGACGTAGGAGACACGAGTGTACAGTCCGGGTAGTTCTTCACAATCAGCTGCTGCACCAGGGTGAGCGTTTGCGATGCCCACGACCACGTTATTGGCAATCAGAGGACCACCCATGTCACTACCACAAAAGCCTTTCCCACGTTCGGTCCCAGCACACAGCGTGACATCGGTATCAATAGTGTACTCGGCACACTGGTCATCAGGAATAATTTCGACATCAACAGCTTGAAGAGTATTGTATCGAATAGCCTATAGTATCGAGATAGAGATATATCACTTTAGAGATTGATATTAAATGATACAGGGGCTCTCTTAACCAACTGTTTGGTTGAGGGCAGTTGGTCGAGATGACCAGCGCACTTTGCTTTCCTCCCGCCAACCCCAAGACTCTCTTCGTTCTCGGCTTCCTCCGACAAGGGGCCAGTTTTCTACACTGGTAGCACTTGTTGGTCTAGACTCGACGACCATGGCCCCCGCGACGCGCAAGAATGTCCAAGACGCGCCACCGGG